CCCCTGTTGTCCAAATACAGATTGGATTAGCTAGATTAGTGTGTGTGTGTGTGGTGTTTTTAGTCATCGTTTATTTTAAGGAATAATAATTAGTTGGTTTGACAATTTTATCAACAGTGACCTTGGAATAAAGAAAAAGAAATTACAAATGTTGTTTGTTTTAGTGGAGAGGTTAATTGGAGAGTTGTTATCGAAGCTTTAACGAAGCTCCGGGGCGCAGCTCTTACAGAGAACAACGCAAACAAACCAGAGCACAAGCTGCAAGTTGGATTTATAGTGAGCTGGGTACATTTGTGTGTGTGCGTACAAGAATGTGAGTGAGGGGGAGGGGGGGGGGGGGCAGTTGACCTCGGAACCATGGCCACCTGTGAGATTATCAGGCCTAACAGAAACAGGGCTGGAACAGTGAGGTCAGGCTGGTCGTCCCAGAGGCTGGATAATCACGCAGATTATAATCCTGTCATTATTTTAGAATCATTTGTAGATATTTCAGGCGACCCCATTTGAATTCCAGGTGACCCCACATGTTGTTGTTGTAAAACAATGGTTTAGCTTGTGGTTAGATTGTGTAAATAGCATGAAGTCAAAGTGGATTCTTAACAGGTCGGAGTTCTTTGGTGTCATAATCCACACACCTCACCGTAATCCTGTTGTTATCTGACACCACAGCTTCTCTGTGACTCTACGTTCCCATTGTTCCTCGGAGAACACTGATTGCTGCAGTGTTCCAGCCTTTGTGCGCGGCTCATCCGTCACCCTGGTTCTCCTGCAGTTTCTTTCATGTGATGATCCTAAATTAAAATCTGGAACAAACCATCTCCAGTGGAATATTAATAATTGTGTGATGACAGCATTGTTAGCTCAGGTATAAAATCTAGGCTTTCTACTAAAAAAAAAAGAAAAAAAAAGCACATACACAGAGTCACACACTCAGTGTGAGCAGCTGGAGTGCTGGAGGATTAAAGGCACAGTGCAAAGTCTGACGTTGGCATCAGATCAGGTTCTCACCTGAGCCTCCGCTCAGAGGACACGACTGCTGCGTCCCCCCACAAACACGGACTCTTTGTCTTCTCCCACTTTGCTTTTCTTCCTTTGGCTTCCAGCACCAGTGCATCAATTATGTAGTCACTGCTTCTGAATTGTTTTAAAATGACCGTCTCACAATGGCATCGCTTCATACGTTGCCAACGACCGGGGCTGCGTCGGTCGCTCCGATCCAGCGGAAAATCTCTGTCATTTGACAGTTTCCCTTTATAACCCCTGGCTAACAGAATCCAGCGGTGGAGGGGATTTCAGGGCAACGTACAGACGACGTTGGCCTCGGGGCTCGGCGAGCTGTCGACGAGGCCTCGTCCAGACTCGCTGTGGTTGGTTAACAATATGGCACGGGCTGAGAGCGAAGCTGTTTATAGTCGCAGGAACGCGGATCTGCTCCCGTCGAACTCCCCGGAATCACGTAAAAACACACGCTGATAGGTCGGAGGGAATTCTGTGCGTTCATGTATACACACACCACAAACACAACCGGTGATTATGTTCCCTCAGACACATCGCCGCGCTGTAATTACGTACAGTGACGCAGCGCTGGCCAACATACCACGGACGCACTTTTCTATCATTGGCTGTGGAAATAAAAAGACGGCGAGGCACAGGAGCAAATTAAACATTACTGTTCACGGATAAACATAGATGATGCACATTTAACTACACACACACACACACACCACCTACACAACTGAATATAGTGTAGCCCAAAGGTGGGTGTGTAAGTGTGTGTGTGTGTGTGTGTGTGCCCCTGGGGTGGAATCTGGTGCTGCCCCAGGGTGGGGACGGGTGTGTGTTTATTTAGGTGAGTGTGTGTGTGTGTGTGTGTGTTTACAGCTGAATAAAGGGAGCGAGTTTGGAGATAAGAACTGGAGTCAAAGATGAAAGGGAAAAGGGTGAGGAAGGGGGAAGACTGGCACACAGAGAGGGAGCCGGGGGGAGAGCGGGTGAGGAGCTGTGAGTGGGAGGGACAGATGGGGGGGGGGACGTTTGATGTTGATGAATTTGAGGTTGTTTAGTTGACATTACGTAATGCATGGACTGTGTGTGTGTGTGTGTGTTGTTTTTCTTACCTTTGTAGGACACGTTCTGTTGTTGGAGCTGATTTTGTTTTGGACCAGTTCTCCTGAAACAGCAAAAACAAATCTGGTTCTAATGAAACCTGAGGCGTGGAGTCAGGGGTGAGGTGAGATTTGGAGTAAATCAGAGGTTACGGTTCAGTTCACAGGCTACTGTCAGGTTAGACGGCCAGTTTGGGTCGCACCGAGGAATAAAGGGTCAGAGTCCTGACAAGAATAGAGTTGTGTGAATGTGTGTGTGTGTGTGTGTGTCCAGGGTGGCAGGGACCGGGCGGTAGCCTCTCTCTGGGAGAAGGGAATTTCTATGAGAGCCAAAGGTTGCCCCATAGCAACGACTGTCTTTGTAAAACTGATCCTTGGGAATACAGCACACACACACACACACACACACACACATACAGAGCGTTCTCACAGTTGGACATCCCCTTTTTTGGACACACTGTGTGTTCAAATCACAGTGTCTTTTTCTCGCTCAGAGACATTTTTACAAATTACAACGGAACGAAATAGACGACAAAATGTAAGAGGGCGGCAGATATGATTGACAGCTGGGTGGTTTAGTGGAAGTCTGACAACAACGCAGCCTTCACTGACGTTACAAATTCTGATTTTATTCTATTTTATTATACAGAATTGTATTACTTTGTTAAATTAAAAAAAAGACTTGTTTTGAAAGGACAGCAGTAAGACAACTTGACCTTTGACTCCCTGGAAAATGCTGCGTTCATGGCTCAACACTGGTGCGTGGACACCACCCTGGGCCTTTGTCTTTTCTTCCTGGCCCACTGGACCTGGACCAGGTCTGGACTGAGTCTCATCAGCACATGTCACAGACATGGAGCCTGGACTTGTCTGTAGAAACCCATCCTTCTCTAACGCCGTGTCAGTGTGAAATCTCTCTCTCTCTCTCCCCGTTCGTCAGCTCTCCCTCTACGTTAAATTCACCTCCTCCGCGCGTCCAGGCACCAAACAACTCCAAGTCAATTTCATTTTCAGGAGCTACATATAGCGTTTCAGCTCCACCTCATGCTGAGATGTGATGGACTGAGATGCTCCGGTTTCTAGATTCCATTATGCTTTTATTGGCTTTTAGAGGCATCGGGTTTCCTCTGTCTGGAGCCAGGGAGGAGCTTCAGATGTTCTGAGTGTGTGAGTGAGTGTGTGAGTGAGTGTATGGACAATTATCATCTCACTGGCTGCTCGGCACACAGCGCTCTGCTGGGCCTCAGGGTTAGAGTTAGGATGGCTGTGGAGTAGGTTTGGTTCAGCCACTTCATCAGACTGAGAGAAAAGAGTTAGATGTTTGGTTGTTGTTGTTTTTTTAAAACCCTACTCATATTTATAACTTAATAATAATTAATAATATATAATTTTCTGTTGGGAAAATAGTTTCTTTCACATGCAAAAAAAGAAAGAAAATTGCTTTAGATTTTGATATTGAATGATCAGTTTCAGTCAGAATTTAACAATCATCCTGGAGCTACACTGCCATGTTTTTGACTCTTGACATTTGACCTCTGAGTTTGTAGTATGAGGCTCTCACCACACAATTTTACAGCACGTGTGGATTGTAAGTGCGTTGACATCAACCGTGTCTTGCTAATCTCCAGCTAACAGGAGCTGCAGTGACTGGAGTCAAACGTCCATGAATTTGTTGTGGAGTCAGATCATAAAAACCTGAACTCTAACGGGGGGTGAGGAGTGGAAACCAGCAGCAGTGATTGTTGCACTGCAGTATGGGTGGTGTCTTCTAAGTGCCTGCACTTGATAACTTATTAGTTGTCAAATGTATGCAGAGAGAGACAGGGGGGAGGTAGAGGGTGAGGGAGAGAGAGGCAGCGGTTAGCATTAGGATCAGTCTCAGAGCGACTGCAGACTGGAGGTCGTTCACTTCAGAGGTTCGACCTCTGAACGATCCGCTGCTAATCTCTCGTACCTGACCCTGACAGAGGTCGCCGGCAGAGCTCGTGCGTGAAAAAGAAGGAGAGTTTTTCAGAGCGGAGCTGGAAGTTGTTTGAAAGGCGAGGATTTTCCCACGCTAGGAGTTCTAAAATATCCCAGAAACAACTGCAACGGGGGACACAAGATGAATTGTTTAAGTTGTTTATGAAGTAAAACATTAGCGACGTCCAGCCTCTCAATGTGAGCGCTGGTTATTTTTGAAAGTGGAACATTTCTTGGGGTTTGGTTTTGGGTTTTGTGGTAGGAACAAAACAAACGTTGGACAGATGTGACGGCCATTTTTAGGCTGGTGCGGCTCATGAATGATAGCATTGTTACTTCAGTCCAGACTAAGATGTCATAATGAACCCCAGATTGACTCAACATTATTATTTTGAACAATCTTTTCTACAGAATTATGTCGACACTTGAACATTAATAACAGGAAATATATATATATATACATTTTTGTAATTTTTGAAACCCCAGTTTTCTAATCAGTCATTGGAAAGTTTCTGCAGTTAGGGTTCAATAGTTTACGTCTTTCCTTTACGTACTCTGGTGCTTTATAGTNTCCTTTACTGAAAGACTCTGATGTTGCTCTGCCAAAATCCCATCTTAAATCAACTCATCCACTATGCTGCTCTGTATAGGAGCCACAGTCAGACAGTCAGAGAGACAGTCAGTCAGAGAGACAGTCAGTCAGAGAGACAGACAGTCAGTCAGACAGATGTGTGCCTGTCCACCACCTGCACCTCCTCTCGTCCGTCCGTCCGTCCGTCCTTCTGCCTCCCTGTAATCTGACTGAGTGGTTGGTCTTTTAAATGAAATGACAAACAGCTCAGTCTCCCCTGATGAATTCCTCTAATCTCCGTCATCTGTATCCTCTCCTTCACACCTCCCCCAGTCACTGACTCCGTCTGTGTCTCTTAACAGGAACAGACGTGGTCGCGCTCCGTGGATGACGAAGGCTCGACAGGACTGGAGTTCTACGATGATGAGGACCTTTACTCAGGCTCCGGCTCTGGCTGTAAGTATGACTGTGTGTGTGTGTGTGAGAGAGAGAGAGAGAGAGAGAGAGAGGTTAGTTACACATTGACACCCTGCTCCTTTCAAACGCGACAGCTGCTGGGCTTCAATCTGCTGACCCCTGTGACCCCCCCCCCCCCCGTGTTCTCCCCTCATAGTTATTCAGCAGTCCCACACGCACGGTCGTCACATGCACACACGCAAAATGACACTCTCCACATATGAACAGATCTGCCCCCCCCCCCCACTGGGGCACATTTCTGAAGAAAACAACATGCTACACCCGACTC